TATATATATATATAAACCGATACTATAACCATAGAAATTAAAGGATTCGGACACCTTAAATTTCATGGATAAATGAGTTTAAAAAATAAAATCCAAATAACCAGAAATTTCAAATTAAAAATTGATATCAGATAAATTATTCAAAAGGACTAATTTAAAAAAAATTATAAAGATAAGAAAGATTACAAAAATGGTTGAAGAAATTAGGTTTTCATGCTTCTAATTATCTCAATTCCTTTCTACCTAATCATTAGGCTAATGGTTTAAATTTTATTTATATAAAAGTGAGATAGAATTACAAAAATTAAAAACAAAAAATTATAATAATACTATAAAAACATTAAAAAAAGAGAAAAATAATAAATAATATAACTGAAAAGCTAATTTATATTATAAATTCAAAAGATTAAAACAGAAAAACTATAACATACTAACAAAGTATTTAATTATAATAGATGCTATTATAAGATAAAACATCTAAAGAAATATATAAAATAATATAAAGATATAGAAAATTTTATAAAGATAAATTATTAAAAATATTAAATTAAGATAAAAGTGACAACAAATAATTACAGTTGTTGGACTATTAGGATATCCTTCAATTTTTCTGTATTATATAACTCTTCACACTCTTTTAACCTAAGTATTGTGAAAACCTCTACCGAGGCATCAACGTGAATTACTCAGGTTATTGTTTCTTTCTTTATTTTCCCCAACATTAGTTATCATGCCTTTTGGCATTTTTTTCCCTTGTTCAATCTAATTATTTCTTGAGTTGAGGCATTTAGTATAGATGAGACTCCCACATTAAATATAGTCGGATACTATGTGTAACATAAAAGATAACTCCAAGCGTGTGGTTCAACGATAGGGGTTGATTCATGCTTAAGCAAGGTCAGGAGTTCGAATCCTGCCTTGTGTATGCAGCTGCATTAAATCTTGGGATTGGCTATCCCATTCTTTGAGGTGCCTAGCAAGGAGATTAGTCACCCCTATCAAGAATGAATACTCTAGGAACGAACAAAAAAAGAAAAGACCACATCCATACACAAAAATACAAATATTTGTGTGTGATAGGGTTATTTTATGGTATTTTTCTGAGAGAGAATATTTTATGAGTTATTTTTATAAGGTTATTACACAAACATATTCCACAATGATGAGATATTGTCCGCTTTGGGCCTTAGCCCTCACGGTTTTGCTTTTAGTCATCACCCAAAAATGTGGGACTTGTTATTTGTTGTAATATTTTTTGAGTGTTATTTGTTTTTATAATTTTATTACAAACATACTCCACAATGATGAGATATTGTCCGCTTTGGGCCCTCACGGTTTTGCTTTTGTTTGTATTATATAAGTTGTTATTTGTTGTATTATTTTATCGATGTGGGACTTGTTTGAATCCCAACAGTGTGATACTCACGTTCTTGAGATCTCGTGTTTTCAACAATCTTGAATTGTTTTATTAAAAATGATTTTTCATTCAATTACCTATATCTATTATATCATTACACATTTTAATATTTGTCGAACAATTATTTGTAACCTTTTAATATTTGTGTAACTATTAGAAATAAGAAATGTTCAATAAAGAGTTTGAAAAGCTGAAATTGGGATAATTTCATGGTGATCGGATATACAATCGTATATGAAAAACCCTATTTTTTAATCGTGAATAATATTGTAAATATTTTGCAATTAAAATTATTTTATATTTTATATATCAAAATTTATAATAAATATTCTCCTAATACAATCATTTTGTATTAAATTTATGATAAATATTCTTATATTAAATTTAGTATATATTAAAATTAATTAAATATTTGCATATTTGTATTTAAAAAACTGTTACAGATTTTAGATTTTATTTAATATGGATTATAATAATTTTAGATTTTACTGATTTTATTTTCAGATTTTAGATTTTCGTTATGATTTTATAATATTTTATTTAACCGAATTATGGATTCGTCAAGTTTAAAAGTATAATACAAATATTGTTACAGGCCCATAAAAGGCGTAAAGCATAAATGTAGTGTGACTCACTTGATACGGTTATTTTTTACTCTTTTGACAGCGAAACACCTCTTTAGGAGTGACGGCCATTTTTCATAACTTAAATTTCGTTGCAGAAAATGTGGAACAGGGTGAATGATATAAAAAAATTCATCGAAAATGGTGTTAAAACAAGGCATAGATCCATGTTTGTCATCATTGGCGACAAGTACCACAACCAGGTATCCTATTTATGAATATCCAATACAGAATGGAATAAAGAAAAAGGTTGATTATATCCAATTCATAAAATTGGTAAGGAGGAGAAAGTGGAGTATTATATAGAATTTTCTATCGTCAACATTCATCTTATTTTAAACAATTCAAATTTGAGATTGATTATGATTTAATTCCATTAAACTTCTTTCCATCGATCAAACAACAAGCATTTTGAAAATCCATTTAAGGCTAGCATAATTTGAGTACTAAGTGTAGTTTCTACTATGTGCAGATTGTAAATCTTCATTTAATGCTTAGCAATGCACAAATAAAATCTAAGCCAACTGTTTTATGGTGCTATAAGGACAAGCGGTATGTAATTGATGAATCTATCTTGTGTTAATAAACTGCAATGTACTGATTGTGATGACTTTTGAATGTAGTCATAAGAAAAAATATGAGCAGAAGATTGAAAAATTGTGGCAGAAGGGTCTCTTGGATTGTGACCAAGCCAATCCATTTTCATTGTTTCTGCATAACGTAAAATGTTGTTTATATAAGAATTCAGAAAGTATTATGGGTAATACATATGGAATGTGCATTCTGCAGGTATCTTTGACTTCCTACTAGCTCAATCTCTTATCTTTTTAGGTTGTCTTTCTCTGTCTTTTTTTTTTTTTCCAAGATAAACTAGTTTTGTCTTTGTCTTTTCATTTTAGGATTTTGAGGCGATAACGCCTAATCTGCTAGCAAGAACGATAGAGACAGTGGAGGGAGGGGGCCTGGTTATTTTGCTGTTGCGTTCTCTATCCTCATTGAGAAGTTTGTACACCACTGAATCACACACTGAGGTTATTGGGCGCTTTAATGAACGCTTCTTATTATCACTTGCTTCTTGCAAGTCATGTTTGTTCCTGAATGATGAGCTGAATATTTTACTAGATTCATTTCACGTAAGGTCTATTGTCCCAATTTCTATCAAAGAGGTACTCTCTCTTCGTATTTAACAATTCTTTCCTCTTTTTTCTTGATGGAGGTTGTAGATGACTTTGGCCTTTAATGGCACGCAAAATTAAAGACATGCTTGTTATGTACTTTGTTAGACATGGGAGGATATGAAGACCTACTTATAAAGCTAGCAAATATGCAAAATGAATTCTGCGTGTTTTAGTTTTTTCCTAGGTTTAATTCTAATGACTTCAAAGGGTAATTTTTGAATATAATGATAAAAATAGGTATTTTCCTCCCCTGCAAGAGCGTAGAGGGACGATGTTCTTATTTGTTGTGCTTTTAATGTATGATAATAAATGTTTCATTCCCTTTCCATTCCATTCCTTTTCTCGGGAGCCAAGCAATATGCTTGTATGTTTAAATTTTTGTGGAATATTCTGCATTTATTTGTCTTTGAATTTATGTTAAAGGACTTTGGGGGACCCTCAAAAGCATATCTGAATCTGAAGAACCTTCAAGAAAAACTAAATGAAAATTTATTCATTGGACCATTGGTTAAGAAGTGTTGCACATTGGACCAGGTAATTGTTTACCTCTCAACCTTTCATTGTCCACTGTGGTAGACCAAATTGGTTTTTCAGTGTTCTTAATGTGAGCTCTATATGGTTTCTGTCAATAGAGAAAAGCTCTTGTCACATTTATGGATAAAATTTTATCGAGGTCACATCCTACTACAACTGTTGCTTTGTTGGCTGCGCCTGGCCGAGGGAAATCAGCTACCCTTGGTTTATCTATTGCTGGAGCCATTGCTGTGGGGTATTTTTCTTTAGACATCTAGATATGATTGTTTATGATAGGTGCACAACTGTTTTAGCTTCTCATATGAAAATTATCGGTGTAGGTATTCAAATATCTTTGTAACTGCACCGAGTCCCAAGAATTTGTCAACCTTGTTTAAATTTATATGCGAAGGACTTAATTTACTTGATTACGAGGTATCGTTTCTCTCCTGCATTCACATTTATAGCCATTATTTACAAGAATGTGAATAGGAACATTTTATGGTTTCTCTCCTGCATTTACATTTATAACCTTGTTTGTCAACGTTGTTTAATGGTTTTTCAATGTGAATAGGGACGTTTTGATGAGGTTAAAAGTCAAAATCCTGAGTTCAAGAAAGATACTATAAAGATAAATATTTACAAGCATCACAGGCAAACAGTTCAAGTAAGTTCATTGGTTGTGCTTCTACATTAATATAAGTGACTTAAAAGATGTCCTCGTGTTAAAAAAACTTATCGCTGTGAGATTACAAGGAAATGAAATTCTGGACTTCTTTATGGTTTTGATTTCTTTCAGTATATTTCTCCGCACGAGAATGAAAAGCTTTCACAAGTTGACATGTTGGTTGTTGATGAGGCTGCTTCTATTCCTTTGCCATTGGTGAAGTCTTTGCTTGGCCAATATCTGGTTTTTTTGTCTTCTACTGTTAATGGGTATGATAATGTTTGTTTTGGTGAAACCTTCCATATAGATTTATCTATTTATTTGTATTGTTAGACATTCCTCC